CATCCAGCCGTGAGAGCTGTCCGATAATCTTTTGAATATAGCGGCTTGATGACATCCCTGAGTCTCGTGACCACACTCGACTCGTTTGTATCCTCTGCAGCAGGCGTCAACGTCGAGATAGGACGACCTCTGATGTCGGTGCTATCGATATTGTCTGCCATTGTGGTAAGATGGGTGAAAAGAGTTTGCCAAGAGTACTGGGATGATATACCTGGCCAGTGATGGTGCTTGACGTCACTGTTTTCGTAGAGCAAACATTCGCGCCATTCATGGCTGATAAGAGAATGTGCTTCCTTTGTTCTTGTGCTGTTGTACGGGATCTTGAATACACAATACGGGTTGCGGGTACCGGAGGGCCGGACTGCTATTGAACAAGAGTTGGCAAAGAAAATCTCTAGGCCATGAGGCGAGCTACTTACAATCACCAGGATTATGAGCATGTTTGCTACTCATGCAGATACTCGATAGTGGTGATCGCTATGTAACTAGCAGATGTTTGAATGGTTGATGGCGAGCAGCGTTCCATGTTGGAGTTCCTCATCCGTACATTGATCTATTATGGTCGTCTTGAAAGAAAAGTTCTTTTTTTTTAGCGTCTGAAGAACGACACAGCTGGTCGGTGAACCAAGTTTGTGCCATATGCATATTTGTATTTGTTTGGTTGGAAGAAGCAGCGATCATTGATTTCCCCCGCATCCTCCAAGGTCTCCCCCTCTTCTTCACCAGAGACTTACAGCACCGATCTAGTTCCTGTCATACTGAAGATCTGCGCAGAAGGGCATAGTGACGGCCCAACCTCTCGTGTTCTCTTATGTACTGCACTATCGTCGTCAGACAGCTCCAAAGTATGACAGCGACGACCAAACGGATTGGATGGATGTGCAAAACCTATTTTAAATTGTCTACAGATCTAGAACATTCGGCAGACAAGCTACTCCTCTATTTCCTCTGGTTGATCTGATGTATACAGGCTGCGAATCCCTTTCCCTCTGATTACTGCTCAACTTCTCCCTTTTATCTAGATTCAACGACGATGGAAGCCAAGGTGGTGGCGCTCCTTTATGGGCCGACCATAACTGTCCATGCCATGGGCCTCCGTCTACCCGGCTGCGCGCACGTTTCGAGGCCCGTTCCTGTGTTGCCTGTAGGGTAATCTCATGAGCAACAAGAGAAAAAAGAAATCTTCGATAACTCACATTTTCGGTGCACCCGCTTATGCACGTGCTGCTTTGCCCCTTGCTTCGGAGTTGAAGTGGGCACCTTCGGGGCGCATCGGGGTTGGTGATGTACAGGATAATACCCTCTCGAGTCGATGGAAACGTTTCTATAGCAGCGCACTCGCCTCCAAGGAACCCCTTCATTGCTGAAGGCAAGCGACTACTGATCTGTAGGATTACTAGTTAGCATCGTGGTATAGCCACTGCAAAGGTACTTACTCTCGACATTAGAATCCGGACTAACAATCTCAATCATGTTCGAATGGCTTGAGTACAGATCGTAGTTCGAAGTCGAGAGTACCCCGTGCGGGCTCTCGGCATTCGTAATTGCCATCTAGTGGGTCACCCACTCCAGAGTTGACCCTCACACCATGTGGGCGCAACTCTGTGGTGAACCCACATATGGATGGCTGGAGGGAGGGTGCGTAAGACCCCCCCCCCCTGCCGCTGGTTTTTGTGTTACCTCGACCTGGCCCACCAGGCTTAAGCTCTGGGAGCCGAAGCAAACTATAAACAAGGGTCAGCCATAAATCTATCGAGGGCAAAGAGAACGTACTGCGTGGTTAGCATGTGGAGGTGACTTCGGCTCCTCAGATGGGCGAGGGGCGGGGAGAACACACATTATTTTTCTACGCGTATTGCTCTTGCTCTCAATCTCTGTCTGCTTATCCCCAGGAAGGGATGTTTCAGCCAGTGGACCGGCGTGAACCTGCATTGCGGATGACAAGAGGTGGACTGGGCTGGCTGGTCTGGGAATCACGGAGTGGCAAAAGATTACGTGGTATGGGATGACTGGAGATTTGATAATATCAATTTGGTGACGATGGTATGGACTCGAATGAACAGGGGGACTTGTAGGAGACGGACAAGGTCACGGATGGTGAGTGGAGGGGGTGTTGGCGACTTGAGGGAGAGAAACTGACCCGTATTTATAGGAAAAACAGTCTCTATTCAAGGCTCCTTTTGGAGATCCACTGCTATATTACGCGTCAGGCTTTCCTTTGTCGCAGGGTTTTTAAGCCATCGGGAAAGCAAAGTCGCTGTCCATCACGGTCCTGTTCTGATCTTTGCCAACCATTAGATATTTAATCTGACTTGAATTAGGCGGGTGGAGCGCGATCATGCCTCTCCTGCTCACCTCGTTTAGGTGAATGGCTTACTTTCGGGCGCCGCTATGTCCTGTCGCCACACCATTTCCCATTTTTCACCCCTTTCCCGAGCAATCCAAGCTACAAAACATCGTCTGTCGAGCCCAAAAATCCTTGTAGATAATTTCTATGATAAAATTTCCTCTATTATTTCGTTGGCTGCTGAGTTCAAAAATTGTTGGCTGGGCTGGTCATTGACACTTGCGCGCTTCATTAATTCTTGTCAAATCAACTCCATTCACTTCTATTATCGTAATTTTGAGCTAAACATGGCTTAAGGTACCATTAATGAGGACAGATGCCAAACGGAACTAGAGGAGTCGGCGGTACTCTCACTTTGAATAGCCCAATAAACATTAAAAGTTCACCTATTCAAACTCAGAAGCTCCCATTAATCAGAATATTCTGATTTATGAGAATTCAGAGGCGTGTTATCCGGAAATCCTTTCTACAAGTGATGGCTATGGTTGGTTATGGCCGCCGAGCTTCCTCGGACAGAGGAATGATTGAGTATATTATAATTAAGTTATCATTTCTTATTATTTTACATGGCATGCGATCAAAATGAGCCCCTATCATCCAAAAAAGTTGTAAGGTAACAGGTGGCTGGTCAGTTCACCCACTTTGTTCAGGGAGCCATGCGGGGTTTCTAAAAGATGGCCCAGAAAGTAGGAGGATGCTCATCCTCCCTGTACCTCTTCGATAATAATTCTTATGCAACCCGTTCTTCAACTCCCTCCTCTTCCCAACCCAGCCGTTTCGAATCAAGCTGGCATTCTTCAGCAGTCTTATTGAACTCATCGACACTGTCACAAAGCAAAGAACCGCCACCGTTGGGAAATAGCTCTCGACAAGTATCTAGAAACAGGTACTCTAGATCCAATTGATGAAGCCACCTGTTACCTTACAACTTTTTTGGATGA